ACACCTCCGCCCCGTGTCCCCCATTTACCCTAATACGGGGCCATTTCCTTCTCTGAGCCAAGAATCCCAGAACCGACGCCATCCCGCCACAAAAATACCCGATTAACTCCTGCCGTTTCCGAGGGAATTATTTCAAAATTTCCCCTCGGCAAATGTCTCCGTTGATAGAGGGGGATGCGATTTTCACGCGGAATCGTTTTGGACGTCGGTAAGCTCTATTAAAGTTCAGGCGTTGCTAAGTGCCTTAACTTCCTTTGTGCCGAGAACGAGCAGGATAATTGATTGGTCAAAGATGTTTAGCGCGCTTTATTGGTTGGTTAACAGGTGGCTGACGCATGCGCCCTTTGACGCATGTTGTCTGATGGATGATGCCCTGTATGCCTCATCTCCCCGAGGAAGAGCTCATTTAAGTCTTATTTAAAACTGGCAAAATGTCATATACTAAAGGCTAATTATGAGTTGTGAAACCACTGGGATCCATTGTTCCGTGTTTCCCAGAGATAAGCCACTTTTCTATTAAAGCCTTCCGCGGTGCCATTCATGTGGCTGTCGGCGCATTACTTCAATTTCCTCTGCGGATGCAGATAACACACGCGCTAAGGGGAGCGTGAAAAACGAACGCAACGACCAGAAAGTGCCGCGTACTTCTAATACTTCAGCTTCTGGCGAAGGTACACTAGATATAGTTCAGCGGTGTTCTGAGTGGTGTGTGGATGCAAGGCCGTATCACTGGATCTCAACACACCTACCTGTACACACTACAGTAGCCCATCCTCACTGATCATGACGTCACCCGCCAAACTTGTCGCTAATACTGAACTATGCACATCTCACAGGCATAAAGTCTACCCCCATTATAGCGATTGACTTAGAGATATTTCATGATAATCGTCTCGTTGGCTTTCTTGTTCTATTTATGTATGTAGATCTCATTGTGTTCCTTCTGTGCACAGACATGGTACAGACATGAAAAAGAGAAAAGGGAATTCGTAAAAATAAATCATTGTATAGTAAATTTAAGACACAGGTCTATCTAACCATATTGCGCCTTTCTTACTTGAAGGCTCCCGTAATGTTTATTGGCGATGTTTCTCATTGCTCGGTGGTTATTAATAGTTTCATAAACCGCACGTACCCAGTATTGGTCCCCGCCGACATTATAAGGCTTATAAATTAAACTTGCGAGCTGAGAAAATTTATTAACGTCTCATAATATCCGTCAAGGGCTCCCGAAAGCACGATGTATTCAGTCCCTGCACCTCATCCCCACCGAGAAAATACCCCCAAGGCATCAAGCTTTTTATTTCCTTTGTTATCGCACAATAAACGCGGTCGGACGGGCGGGAGAGCCCCTTTCATAAAGTGCGCTTCAGCGGGTTTTCATCAGGTCTCCAGCGTTTCGGGGGCGTCTGTACACGTCAAAACAATCTGCAGGGAAATCTCTTTTCCCCAACAGTTTTCCTGCGATAACATTGTTAAAACCGCCTTTCCGGTAGCTGACTTTAATTAGCGTGGAGAAGTGGAGAGGAGAAATCACGATGCACCACAGCCTTTCTATCTTTGCAGACCTGTCAATGAGGAAGGGAGCTTGAACATGCTGGTGGAACGGAAACTGCACTTGACTTTGGCATTATCCCCTACTCACACCCACAACAGCAACACGCAGGGCACACAGAAGTTACCATCGGCCAACATAAGACATAAAGTCGACTCAAAACCTGAAAGTCATCCCGGATTGATAACTTTAGACACCTTCTGTAACACGACAATGCCTAAATTCACAACAGGAAAATTCGCCTTTAAAAAAATCAGGGTAAGTTGCAGGGAAAAAAACCTGTTTAGCTGCTTGATTATACCCCATGTCAGATGTGCCACAGTGGAGGTAAGCCTATAAGGTTATTGCAGTCTACATAAATCGAGATTCTGTTAGCAGAAAGCAAAACGGGAGTCAGAGAGTGAGTGAGTGAGTGAGTGAGTGAGAGAGAGAGTAAAATCAACATTGATCACAAAATTAAGGATTCTTTACAAATGACCGACCATATCATGATACTAGCACAGATCGAGATCATATATGATGGCCGAAATGACCTTCTGCTCTGTTGCTAATTCTACATACAAGCACCATCACTCAACTGCATATTTTTCTCGATGTCATGGCATTGGTCACAATAAACAATAAAGTCAATAGGGCATGGCCGTTACAGGTATTACAGGTTATCACCCAAAAGGATGTTGGTTTGATCCGTGGAGTTTATTCCGCTTAAAAAAATCAGGGACCCCCACATGAATTAGCATTTAAGTAGGGTAGTTATATACAACACCCACTGTTTCATTGTTGATATGTAATTCGATTAAACCCCGTCATTTACCGTGTGTAATTAATTACGGGTGTTATATCACGTACCAGTATATACGACCAGATAAAAAAAGAAGAGAAGAAGCGACAGGGATGAGACAGAAAGTTGGATAATTTATGTTCCAAATATTGTGAGGTGTCCTGGTCCTTGTCTGCGATCGCGTATCGCCGAGGCGACAGGGATAAGTTCTTTTCATTTCCCAAATGATTTAAACCACCGTTTATGAATCATCGTTAATAAAGGATAAAAACCAGGTTGAAAGAGGAGATAGCGTGAGCGCCGCCATGAAAGTCAGAATGAACGAGGGAAATTCCATATGTTGCGATCGCTCGTATCGACAACGGTGAAATGTATGGTCGGCGGGACGGGGGAAGGACAGCGGCTCGCATAAATCCAACATTACTGGTGCATGCACGTTCCAAATCATTTGCATCAAATATGCTTTAAGAGGATTATGCAGAGTCATTAAGTTTAACGAGACCCCATTCTCTGTAAAAACTGATGCAATACACTAAGTGATGGTAACTTCTTTGTCCTATATTTGATACGTTGAAGAGTTAGTCCGACCGTAGCTGCACAAGTAGGCAAGTTGATATTTTACGTGGTGAATTTGAAGTGTCTGCATATCTACATAATTGAGCCTTCGGTGATTCCATGCGTAGTGAGGATTCTGGTGGCATATTTGCATTTGACACAGTTCAAGATGCTTCATAATCCATCAGCTTACAAGCTTGATAAAGGGTCAACGTTCAATTGTTGTCCTAAGCGGATTTCAATAAACAGAAAGTTCAGAAGTATGCTATATTGGACGCGTTACGAGAAAACTGAAATACAGTTTCACCCGTCGAGTCAGCTGAACTCCCGTGAGCGCTAGCAGCTGAACGTCAGCTAACATGTTTTCTGTGGGCAGCAGAATTGATGGCAGTCATATATTGTTCATTTAATCGAGGGGATCCGTTGCAAAAGGCGCAGTGAATGCTCCCTTTGTGTCACATATATCTTCCATCTCTTTCCACGGCCCGCGATGGGCATTAAGATAAGCGCCGTTTGGCCGCTCGGTTAACGTCCGTCAGCAGAATCCATCATGGCAGGGGAACAAGTGCGCTGTATCTTCCCGCCGAAGACATCTCGTACGATTGGATCGCGGCCCTCTCGCGCAGGGTATGATTATCGGAAAACGATTAGGACAGACGGATCGGCCCGGCGGTGACAGGAGTCAGGGCATCCATCTGTATTACACGTCCGTTTGGATGTTGTGCGGAGGAAGAGCCCGTTTGTCACGCCAGCCGGTTATTGATGTAGAGGAGGGACGGGGGGCCCCGGCGGGGCGCTTGTCACGGCCCTCCCCAGGTCGTGGCCGGGGTCACGGCGGCGCCCCGACCTGCCGTATCGCCGGAAAATTGAGACGATAACGGCGGGAGCTACCCAGAGGAGTCGTAAAGACAGGAAATGTAGTACTGTGATGACACTACCTGGGCAGCTCGGTCTGATCTGCTTTCTAAGTCACACAGCAACCTGGATCATATAGCTAATATTGTAATGTCTGTTTGTCGTCATTGTTATGATTCTTCTCGCTTTTTTACCGGTAAGAAACAAAACTTTACAGTAAGCACCACAGGTTAAAATATAAATACGCTTTTTGCATCGTCCCAAAGAAACTATACATCCACTCGCAGGTAAACCAGCTTTATTAGTGGACATAAACTACTACATCCAGATAGTTGGCATACGAATGATAACTATTGAACTGGTCATTTTGATACTGGGCAATCTTACAAGTACCTATAGCCCCACCTGAGGCATTTTAGGGCGCCTTGTTTTGCAATAAATATCATGCATGGGTCACGACAGACGACAGAAAATTCCAGGCTACCATTGTATTTATGAAATGTACACTCAACATGAAATACTGCTCTGTACGAGTATATATGCATGTTTTGTATCCTACACAGCACCACAAAATGACGATGGTGCTATATGAAACAGACCTATTCTTCGTCATAAAGGTCAGAAGTATGACATTTTGGCCAACCTGAAAATTGTCTTTTAAGATACGAAAGGAGTGATATTGTGAATTAAAGCATTCAGTTGTATTTGAATCAGATAGATGAACATGTAGAACACATAATTTTAATGTTGAACCGAGGAACTGCGCTGTTTTGATGCATTACAATCTGCACGGCTGTCCACATCCACAAACGCAAGGCGAACAAAACTTAGATTTCCTTCGTTGCATGGCTGGTTCCGTGAGCCATCGGCATTTTCTTCCTATCAGATATTTCACCAATATTAAGCGTAAGAATCATACACTTCTTTTTCTAATGCATACAAATTCGTGAACTGTCATATACATGTATTCCTTTAGGCATGTCGTCATTTGATTCTGGTAAATGGTCATATGATTTATTAGCAAGCTATGTCGTGAGGTTAAAGCAAAGGTTCCTGTCTCAAGAACCTGTAACTTTCACAGACAAGAAAAACACTCTGCACAAGGTGTATGGTTCAATATGTGTATAATAACGGAAAAGATACAGGAAAACCATTGACATGTTGCCATTGTATAGACTTGACAAACATAACGGTTACATGTTGTATTTACATTGTGTTCTAATCCGACAAATTTAAAGTTACTCTATTGTACTTAAGAGACTGAGCTTAAGTATCTTACCAACATAAGTTCTTTTGAGAGACTCGAGCTCGGTGTATACAGTTTAGAGAACGACATAAAAGTAAGATGCACATTTATAGAATAAAGAAATAAACATTACCCTGGTCTATGGTAGCTTTAATTTACACCTACATCCCCATGCACGTTCTTTTTCAACTCCCACAAATTGAAAGAATAAAATCTATGAAGTTACACTTCTCAGATGTCTAAGTTTACAGTCAGTGTTTGACTTTGTCGACATGTCTTCCACGGCAAACATGACCGGAGACCTTCACGGATATACACTCTAGGCATCGTGCGCGTGGGCATGCGCAATGTCTTTTTATAAAACCTGAATAAAAACAACATGATCAGCCCGTCGTGTGCCAACAAATTGGTTCATCACTCAATCAGTGTATTCTCAGAACCGTTCGGAAAGGTTCTTCTTTCGGTCGCTATGTATAACGTGGTTCTCAGTTTTTGGGTAGATTATAGAAACGAGAGTGAATGTTTTTAACTTTTAAGGGTAGTAAGAACTTAGGTGTCCCGGATGTGACGTCATGCCATGGTTCTGGTAGATGTTGGCCGCTGTGGAGGACCAGTAGGAAGATGGCGACGCGAACAGGTTCGCAGAGGACGACGGGATATGTCCCCCCATGAAGTTCAGTTTGGGCCCGTGCGGGTACCCGGGCAGGTAGGACAGTTCTGTGTGGAACTTGTACGGGGAGGCGATACCGCCCGCCGCCGCCTGGGCGGCCTGGGCCAGTCCGTGGAAGTCAAACTTGTAGGCGTACCTCTTGCCGTGCACTTTGGTCATGATGTTCTTGTCGTAG